ATTTTTTTTATGATATCAAAAGTGGATGATCCTCTATTGACACTCAATTATCTTCGTAAGGTTAATTCTCATTCCTAATGATCGGTTGTGCTAGATTTAAAAATTTCATATCTTTAAGTCTGATATCAAATAATGAAGTACTCAAATAAAATATTATTGATGTCTCAAGTCTAAGGACCAAATACATAATTGGAACTATGAAATTACTATGAGGTATCATTAACCATCCAACATTTCATAAGCGGATCATTCAGTAAACTCATTCTCCAATGAGCACCTGCACTATATCCTTAGTGTCCCCACACAAGCAACTATGAGACCAATTATCTTCATCATATGGATATGTATATAACACATCAGTCTGTCCGGTTATCTCAATATCCCTCTCAAGTAACCTATGATCGAGAATATTTTAGGTCGAAGACAAATTGGTCTCATTATCATGATCCAATTCTCATTGTACAGATTCAAGGATATCACAATATATTCATCTTCTAATATAAAGTGAGAAAATATCATAATAATAACTAAAATAGATTGTACAATGTATCACACGGATCATCACTCATGTGATTGACTTGTAGGATACTTATAATTAGCAACATTGAGTAAAAAAATAAAATTTATGAATATCATGCAATTGAAAGGCGAAGATCAAGTAAATTAGTTGAACTCCAACTTTCTTTTAAGGATTAGAGATGGACTATGTAGTGCTTTTCAAATAATAATCCTGATATAATTATTCAAATAAGACAAGACATAATGATTTATCAAGCCATGCAATGTTGACTAAAAAGCTAAGTTGATTACTATATATTCTGAGTTCAATGTGTGATTTTATAGTCCATCGAGGATCAAATGATATGCATGATCCTTCTCTATATTTACTATGCTCTTAATCTAATGATCACCTACAATATTATAAAAAGTCAAGATATATTTTTAAGCTAAAAATTTTAAGATTACTTTTTTTATCAATATTTAAACAAAGCGTGAAAGACTAAAATATAGATAATAACTTTGAAATGTCAATAATGTCATGTAACCTCAAACAACTTATAAACTTGTACAACTTAAATTTAAAAAGATAAAATGAATTAAATTTGTAGGAGAGCTTAAAATAAGATATTGATAGCACTATCCACATATGCCGATGGTACCTATCACCTAGACAATGCGATGGTACCTATCACCTAGACAATGCGATGTCACCGTCCTAATGGCGAGTAAGCTTAGTACCACCGTAAAGATGAGTAAGAACTTAAAACAACCCTAAGATCACTCGACAATGATATAGTCTCAACCCATTTTAAAGCTAATTAATAACTTAATATATTAAAGTTTATAGCATGTTCTCAACATCAACATATGGCTGGACAAACAAGTTTGTGAACTAGAGTTGCGAGAGATATCGGCCATGATATATGATGATAGAATAATTTATTATAGTTTACATCATAAAATTTTAGTAATATATCGTAAGATTTTGGATTTGAATCGTGTCTTCCTCACACATTTTTCTTGTTTAATAAAAAAAACTTGTCTAGTAGGACATATGAGTCATTTTAGCGATGGATCGATGGGAGGACAAAATAAGTCAAAGCGGAAGACCCATTCCCGTTCCCGACAACTGTCTCCACCACCATCCGCAGAGTGAGGAGAGGGAGGGATGGCCAATGGCGTACGGCTGTGTCTTCTCTCTCGCCGTAGGATTTAGAACGAGGTAGAAAGCCGAATGAGATAGGGAGGAGGAGGCGGAAGGCGACGGCTGGAGACAGGAGGAGAGGGGCCAGAGCCGCTCTTGGATCGGTCGACGCCGATCCCAAGAGCGCCACTTCATATTATCTCATCTCCTCTCTCTCTCTCTCTCTCTCTCTCTCTTCTTCTTCTTCGGACAGAGAGGTTCGAACTTCCCCTTTCTTTCTCTCACTCTCATCCCTTCTTTTGTTTCCTTTCGTCCTTCTTGATCTCTGTTGTTGTCGTTTTCTTCTGTTGGATGTTGAAAGGACGGATTTCTTTGGCACTTCTTCTCAACGAACCATCGACGTTGGAATTCTTCGCTTGTAGACTGAATCGGCACACATACGGTCTTTATAGATCCAGACTCATCGATTCCCGGTTCTCGAGCTCGATCGCTGGCTTTTTGTTGTAGATTTTGAATTGCTGGACATCATCGTTTCAAAGGCCACAACTTTTTGGAGAATTTTGTTACAAAGATCGGATCTTGATATGGAGGGCAGGGAGCTGCGGCGAAGCGTGACGCTCCCGGAGCAGTTATCTGTCACCGATTCCTCCAAACTCGAGGACCTCCTCAAGGTCCGGGAGGAGGACGATGTGCGTGTTTCTCGCCGCCGGGGCCGCGACTCGCTGACTCTGCGATCGATTATCGCGGGCGAGAAGAGGGAGGACTCCGCCGCGGGAAGGACGCTGCTCGAGATCATCCAGCAGGATCGCGCGGCGAATGGAAACGCGGCGGACAGGAACTCCAGTAACGGTGACACATGGAAGTCGCTAAGGGACCTCCTCCGTCACGGCGACGGCGTGGCCTTGGCAGCAGCGACACCCGGCGACCTCCAACCGGTCTCGGCAACCGAGCTAGTCATCTCCACTCGCCCCAACCCCGTCCTGGCCCTTTCAGTCTCCGTTGGGAATCCCGACTTTGCCGCCTCAGAATCCACCGCCGTGGCGGCGACGGCTGCGACTGCGACTGCGACCACAACGCCGGTGGAGCTACCTTTAACCAACGAAGGAGAAAGTGAAGAAATCAATGGCAGTGAAAACTCCAATCCTGTGGGCGCCGCCGGGTCATCCTCGCCAGAGGCAGTGCCGGCGGCGGAGGAGCAGCAATCGGCGAGGGTGTCCCTATTGGCGTTACTGGAGCAGACGGACAGACAATGGGAAGGAAGCGGACAGGAGGGGCTATCGTTGGTCGCAGCGGCAGTGGACGAGGAGGTGGTGGCGGAGGACGAGATGAAGGGCAGCGGAGGGGTGTCGTACATGTGCTGCGTATGCATGGTGCGACACAAAGGGGCGGCGTTCATACCGTGCGGCCACACCTTCTGCCGGCTTTGCTCGCGGGAGCTGTGGGTCAGCCGTGGCAACTGCCCTCTCTGCAATGGCCACATCCTCGAAATCCTTGACATCTACTAGTGCCGTGCCACCTTCCATTCTCCGGCTCTGGCCACTGCCACCGCTCGTTATTTGATCTTTCTGAAGAAAACATTGCATGACGAGTGATTAATCATTAAAGAGGACATTATTGATGCCGAACTAGATTTCTGGATATGCTCGTCCGATGGTAGAGAGACTACTGACTGGCTGGCTCATCAGCAAGTTCCGAATTATCTAATGTATGTCCATTTTGATAGACAAATTTTATATTTGTGTTTCTGCATTGTCTTCGTCATACAGAGATCTCACCAATTGCCATTATTCAAAATGCTCTCTTTCTTTTATCGAAAGAACCTTGCGGATACACTACAGAGACTGATGATAGAGTACCAAACCACCGAGGGAGGAATTTGTATACTGAAGTTCTTTCATATTTCGACAATTACATTTTATTTGCATCCTTTCTTTGTACCCTTTTAGAAGGTGCAAGTGATCTAATATGCCGCACTTGTCATTCATCCATTGTTTTCCTTATTTGGGCGTCTACTACTACTTTCTCTTTTCCATCCTCACACGTCAATTATACTATCTTCTACTGCATATCCTTTTCACCAGCAACCATTGCACCGATCGCTAGGTTATAATGCAGAAGAGAATCTGAGTTCATTTTGGGAAGCGAATTGATCAAAAAAATTGGCACATTTAATAATGATATGAGGATGGAGTAATTAGTTTCTTGCAAAAGCAGTAAGTAGTATTATGTACTTCTCCTGTTCGACCTTATGATCGAGATGGCGTTCTTTCGATACGACTCTGCACGTCTCCGATAACAACCGTGCTTTGTTATCCCACATGGCAAGTTTGGTTTGCCGGTACAACTGACAATGCCCAAGCCGACAAAGATCCTACACTTGCAGTGCTCCAAACGACAACATACATTAGCGTACGTACCGTACCTTCTTGGTATTCCTCAAGAGTGCACCACGAAGACAAGTCATCCAGGAAAAGAAGGCTACAATCGAACGTTCCATTCCACAGTGGAGATACCAACCGGAAGATTATATAGAATTCAGGGTTGCACTAATCCGCATCACCAGGCTTGAGGTTGATTTCTTTTACAAAACCAAAAAACAAATGACATGGCCACTCTCAAGTAAGATTATCCATCGAGATTTTGTAGAACGCACATAACCAAACTCTAGTAATGATAAACCAATCTCCAGTAATAAAAACACTAGCCTTTTCTTTAATTTGGAATTAAGAATTCAAAGTTCACTCAGATGCAAAGCCAATGCAAGAACAACACTTGAATATTGCACATGCGAAAGTAGTAGTCAAAATTAATCAAAAAAACAAAGGAGCTATGCTTATAAACCAGAACCACGCTAGCTTTTGACATTACCAGAATGCACCGACTCCTCATGAATTATAAACGAAAAATTTATGTATTCATCAGAAACAAAAGAAGATGCTAGCTTAGAAACAAAAAAAACACTGGAATTTGGCGATTAATGTGGAGAATGCATACCACCAAGCATTAAGCCTGATATGCTAGCACTGCAAATTTTATCTGATAAAGAAACCTCAGATTACTGACTAACAAAAGAACATTTTAGTTTCAAACGATGAGATATGGAATTAGGAAAAGTTCCCTAGAGATCGAAGAGTTCAAATTTACCAGAAAGATAACTAAATTACACCTTTCCAGTGAATCTGTCATAAATATTGAATGTTACAACTAAACAAACAATAGAAGATCTGAAATACAAGTTAGATCGACAACAAGTGTTACTAGGGTTAGTAGAAAAAGAGAAGGGTTGCTTTAAGGTATTTGACCACTTTTCATCAGAAAGATTAGAATTATTAATTGAGAATGAGAGATGACGAAGAGAGAAATGATAATTCTTGTATCCCACTTGAAAGAGCCCTTTATCATTCAAATTCAAGAATTATTTATACATACCCCTTAAACCAGTCACCAATCCACATTGTCAAATCATGATCCAACGATCCATATTTGGTACTTGAATCTTGAATGCAGAGAGAACAAGACCTACTGAAGTAAATGCCTACCAAGTATGGCAATCATGATGAGTTGAAGATTGATCCTAATGCAGGACAAGATGGGACAAGATCATTTTGGTGGTTCTAATCTGTCATTACAAGAAAACTGAATGAGGAAACAAGTAATAGTGCTAGGAGGAAACAAGAACAAGAGGAAACCTGGATAGATCAATCAGCATTGCCCTAGATAGAATTTCTTTACCTGCATAATAAACAATGCAGGTAAGCTTGTGCCCGGGTTCTTAACTTCAAGGTAAAAGAACAAGTACTATTTCGAGTTCAAGTGACAAGAGAACATCTGCAAAAATGTCCTCTTCCCAACAAACAACATCTGCAAACTGGACTCAGCAGTAACCTGCAAGAGGACCTCAAATGGGGAATATCACAATATGCTGTTAAAGTCTTTTTGCAGTTAGAATTAGTCTTTAAGCCATGAAGAAATATGATGTTTTGTGAAGCATGTGGAACCTATTCACATCAACCTCTAATATCATGGGCTGCAATAGTCAAACAGTGCAGTGCATGGAAAACTTATAATCCAGCACAAAGCAGGTTGCACTTGCAAAACCGTAATGCGGAAAAATTGTCCAGAACATGGTAGAAAGGCAGCACTAGATACAAGCAAGTTTATAATTCTCATCTCTAAAATAGCACAAAGTAAATATTTACTCTTATTCTAGAGAGGAAATTGCAGTAGTAGGAAAACAATTGACAAGAAAATTTAAATGATGGTAATAAGTTCAAATTTGACACACTCATCCAATTCAGATAATTTACAGAACAAGTTAGAAGAATTATAAAATAATCTACAAACTAGTAATTTAATGCTGCATTTTCGCCAAGAAACATCACCTACTAATTCATCATTTCTTCTCTCATTCTTAAGGTTCACAGAATCTGGATCTGGCAGATACAGTCCAACCTCAAACATCTGATTATTCAAAGGTATCAATATTGCCAATTCTGCCCAACTCATGGTCAATCTTGTGCAACTTTGTAATTAATCCCATTTGATTTCCCATTGATCCCACTGTTCCATCCAATTAATGACTGATAATGCCATGTGCAGCTGGTTTTGTCTGATTTGGTTATCTAATCAGAGACTAAATCTTATGACTAGTACCAAATTGGATCCAGGAGTATATTTTATCCTTGACCATGATCATACATAACTGTAGTAGGTGAAATTATGATGAGTCAGAAAAACTAGGAAAATAAAATAGACAAGTGTAAATCGTACATAGAACCAAAAAATACAACAGATTTTGTATACTAGTTTGTAAAGAGAGAAAATGTTCTTCATAACTCTCTCAAACAATAACTAATCACTACATCCAAAGCATCAGTACTGCAACTTCTGTGCTACAAGTGATGATGAAAGTCAAAAGTACTAGATATATGAAACAAAGGCACCAAACTTACAGGTACTAGTTCCTTAGGCACTGAAAACATACATCTGTAGAACTTAGAAATCAAAAGAACACTAGAAGCAAGCAAAAATCAGTCAGTAACAAGGTCGAGTCATTCATCATCAGCAAACCGATTATGCCATGACAGTGCAGAATCAAAATGCTATATCCATTCAAACTCAGAGATGGAATCAGCCTCTTCAAGAAACAAATACCATGTTAGCATCCAACCTCCAACACAACCCCAACATCAATTAGTCTACGCCCAGTTCCTTTAGGTAGTTCAAATTAAGACTACCACATGCTCAACCCTTCCTTGGATTGGCAATTCCTTGTTCTCCATTCTTAAGAAGCAGCTGTGTGCAACCCATGATATTTTTACTGACAATGGTATTCTGTTCATACAATCCACCAACATAAAAGGCTAGTAAAATTCCCCAAACTCAAATCCTAGTGGCCTAGAGGAAGCCCTTAGTTTCAATGAAATTAAAATAGGACTGCAGAAAACCATAGAATACCAATTTAAAAAATGACAATAATAATATCCAAAAAATTACCTAAATTCAACATTCTCAATTCTACATTTAGACAAGCCTAGACTAGGAATGACCTGAACCAATCTTGCATCAATGATTGCTGCTATATAGAATCATGTCCTCATTATCTTCCATGAACCAGGTCAACAACTCATAATCTGGATTAAGATGTTGCAACACAATAAAAATATATATATGCTTACCGACATGCTACACAATGCAACTCAAAAGGTTTTTAGAACAGCCAACAAAATGCAAAAGAACCAAATGCAGTTGATCCAACCAAACCAACATAAAATTGACTTCTGTGACTTATTGTATGACTAAGGATAAGACTTAAACATCTAGAAACCTCATACAACTTCAAACTTGATTTCCTTAACAGAAGTTGCCAGTTAATTTCACTTTTGATAAAACAAATGACTTCTAAGAGGATGAAGAGTTTTGACAGATTCTTAAAGTGATCTTCATCAACTAATTATTCATCAAAGAGTCTCATCCATGAAAAAGTGAGGACGAGCAGAGTACAAAGGATGGGCTAGAATATTAATTCATAGAGGGTTCAGATTGGACTGGAGAAGGTTAGGATCTTTTCTTAAAGTAAATATTATTTTTGCTATTGTTCTTTTTATTTCTTTTCAACCCTGATTAGTACCAGCCAATATAGAAGGCTTAGCCATGAAGATAGTCTTTCATATATTCTCGATGAGATTGAATGATATAATCCCAACAAATACAGCATGGGTTTGGGATACTTATGGTTTTATTGGGAGGAACCTTGGATTCAATGGTTGGGCCACCAGTTCTTATAGTAATACAATCATGCATAGAGTACATAGATGGTGGAGAATTAAGAGAACAGAAAACGAGAGTAATACACTGAATACAAGACATAATATGATCAATGTCCAACAAAACTTCGGCTTCAAATTTTCAACCCAGCTATATATTTGGGTAGTCTGGCCATAAACCTAGCGATCATTAAATTGCATATACTAGGTCTAGAACTACATGACCCAAAATGTTTGATTCAAGTTATAAATAGTAGACTTGTCTAGATACTTATACTAATCCAATCCACCATATGTATAACAATTTTCACCGACTCAAAAACTTAACACGATATAGAATGACTCCCTATTAGGTGGCAATGGTGACTCTACACCATTGCCACCGAATAGTGACTCCACACCATGATGCCCCTCTTGCCTATTGCACCACCCATGAATAGTCCTTTTCTAGAATGATTCACTCATCACATGAAGTAATAGATCCACTCTAATACTAGTCAAAACCCGGCCGATAGCCTACTAGACAAAAGATTTGGATATACTGAGTTTAAAAACATGTGACTAAAAATGCTTTAGCCCAAATTGTTAGTACTAGACTAATCCTCCCACATGTAATAATCCACAACACTACCAACTCTTGATATTAAATTACTATTGTATCACAATATGCCTTTATTTATATAATTACTAAATCTGCAATGCCCCCAACCGAGCAGAAAGCTAGGGACCATACAGCGTTGCAATCCTATAGGTTCCCTATAAGAATGTAAGGCCAAAAACCAAAACAGATAATTTTCATAGAACATTTATTATATAAGTCAATCAATAATCAATTCCCCCACAGGATATTCATTTCTATTTAAATAGATTAACTACATAATTCAATCAATAAACGATCCACCATGCTTCCGCTATGCCACCCTGAAAAATTGAGGGGTAATCATATGAGCAAACCACAACTTAGTAAACACTGTGACTCACATGCTAGTCAAAACTTATTATAAATAAATATTTTCTGAAAAACACATGAATTATTTATGAATTCAGCACATGCCTTCGAAATATGCATGTATATCAAATACTTTCTTTATGCTCATACAATTTATAAAAACTTAAACTTTATATGCATTTCAAAATCATGACTTGTTAACATAAAATAATTGAATACTTTTCATAATAACAAATATGCATTTCAAATCACATACAATGTTTATGATACCTTTTGAATCAAGATACATTTAAATACATTTTCATAATAAAAACATAAGGATAGCTAATGTCACATAGCAGAGTATAAAACAATGTAGTGCAAAGAAATCATTCATATAAATATGGTTAAGGGTTCATAAACACAAATATAGCTAAGGTGTACATGTCAGAACATAAGTCGTAGTAGTATCAGACAAGGCCTAGAATCATGTTTAACCCCTATGGTATAAGTAACACATATCTCCTTGTGTCAGGGCCTAGAAGAAACTAGTTTTAGAAATATATTACAACGTATAACCCCTATTGGTAGGGTCCAGATCATAATCATGCTGACCAAACCAGGGTCTGCAGTACCGAGTACCGGGCGGTACGTACCGGTCCGACCAATTGTCGATACGCGGACCGCCTGTTACCGGTCCAAGAGTACTATAGCACTGTAGCAGTGCTACAGTGCTCGGCACATATAATTAGGTCCTTCTGCCGTGCTACAGTGCTACAGTACTCGGCACACCTACAGTACTCGGCACACCTAGCTCTTTTTCTTATCTTTCCTTCTGCCGTCTCTTCTTCTTATCTTTCCTTCTTCTCCCTCTCTCTTTTCCCCTCCTCTTCTGTTCTGTTTTCCTTTTTCTTTTTTTTTTCTCCTTCTTTCTCCCTTCTCTTCTTCTCTGAGCCGAGGCCTCTCTCTTTCTCCTTCCTCTTTTTCATTTCTTTCTTCCTTCCCTTCTTCTTCTTTTCTTTCCCTTTCCAGTTTCTTTCTCTCCCTCACGCTCCCATGCAGTGCCTCTTTTACTTGTGAGAAAGGCAGCTGAGAGGCGGTGGGAAGCGAGGGGGTGAAAACCCTTCTCTTAACCATTTTTCGTTTTAGCCCCTGTAATTTTTATACATAGAATTAGGTCCTCGAATTACATTTGGGGTATTACAAAATCCTAGCTAAACCTATGAAAAGAATTTTCTTTTCAGCAAATGTGTAATCACACAAAACCTCATGTAAAGAGAACTCTATCTGAAAACAACTCATAGTGACAAATAATTTTGTTGTTGTTGTTGTTGTTGTTGTTGTTGACTGAAGTATCTACTACAATGTAGCAGTCAATACGCCAATTACTCTGTCAGTGTATAACCTCCAGGAAACTGTCCATACTCCTTAAAAATAAGACAAATGTAAAATTTATCAGCACAGCAAAAGCATTAGAAAATGATGACAATCAGTGAGATTATGTATGATATAGTAATACTAGGCCTTAGCATGGACAATATAGCAGTATCAAGAAAACTGCACAATAGTCCATGCACCAGCTGATTATTACACACCTAGTTAGCTTTCACTCAATTTCAGCAAAACCAGATATATTTACTATCAATAATGTCAATAGACAATATTCATGTCAGTGAAAGTGTTATCCCATTTCTACCAGTGGCTTAAGAACATCATCTTAAGCAGACAGTGATGAGTAAAACCTAGTAAAATTTTCAGTGCAGATGAATCTGAATGACCTTGGATTAAGATGACCTAGTAAAATTTACCAAAGAGTTCCATATGTAGCATTCAAATCTTCATTTGTCTATACAAATTTGGAACAACAGATGATAATAGAGGCCCACATATCAGCAAACCACTGTGATCAATTTTCTGCAGTACGTATCATGTAAACAAGACAATTAATTCTGCACAAATCCTATCACAACAGTATTCAATATTCTTGACAATGTATGCCATGATCAACTAAAGAAAGTTTACTCACTAAAACAGTACCCAAAAAAATGTAAATAGATAAATGTAGGACATTAGGAATTTAGAATTATCCTATCATCATCTGCACAACAGAGTAACAGATATCGTTAAACACCTGGAGGCATATAGCTTAAGCCCACCCAAAGAAATAAGTTCAATGAACAAAATCCAACATGTATTCAACATCACAAGAAGATTCCGTTGCCGGGACTCGAACCCGGGTCTCTCGGGTGAGAGCCGAGTATCCTAACCAACTAGACTACAACGGAGGACTGTTCGAGTCCCGGCCTTTGTCCTTTGCCGGGTCCTTAGTATCTCTACAGTATATAGCCACAGCTCAACGTGCAGATCATCATAAGGTGATATGTATGAGGCTAGAGACAAAATATTTAAAAAGTCTTATTTACTCAACCTTTTGTTCTCATGACTGTAATACGACATTGTCCCCCTTCAGTGCGAACTTTTGTTTTGACAATTACAGGCTTCCCAGAAAAAGCTGATGTGGGATTAAAAATGGATGGATCCTCATCCTTCTTATGCTTCAATCTTGATGGTGGTGCAGCATGAATTCGTTGATTTATGTCATTCAAAGTGACATCACCGTGAACTCCACAAGGTTCAATGAGAGCAAAAGGATAAGCAATTGAGGTATTCAACTTCCTTGGAATTATAACGTAAGACTTCTTGCCTGGTTGAGAAGAGGACAACAAACAAACTGATTATGGGGAGATTATGGAAACTAATTGAGTACACGAACAACAGATTGCAAATGCAACAGAACAAAGAAGAGTGGAGTCAAGTACCAAGTATACCTTGAAAAACATTCAGATGCACTGGAGCCGGAGTCTCTGGCACCATATCAGTTTCCATGGAAGGTGAATTATGGTAGTACTCTAAATAGCCAGATCAGATACAAGAAGCTTTTCATGAGAGAGGCTCGTTTTCAGAGTAAAGAACTTGTTAGAGTTGGGGAAAAGGATAAGTACATAATAAAATTACTTTAAAATCAATAGTACCAAAGAAATGTCTGAAGCAGATGCAAAAGTGTATGTTCTACTGTCCCGTAACATCAACTAGTTGAAAGACCACAATATTCTTCCTGCAGGAAGCCACATAATGGCATAAAGACACATGTGAAAATAGAAAACGTGGTGACTAATAAAGTGATAAAAGAGCCGTGACAGACATTTCATCAGGCTGCATTGTATCTCGCCATCATTCAAACAATCTGCTAGCCACTCATCTGATGACTGATCCAACCCTCCACAATTAAAGGCTGACCCATCATCTAAAATAAAGATGCAGCCTTAAAATAACTGTATAGAAAATTGTATCATTTCTTCACACAACATTATATTAGTACAAACCAGAGAAGCCCAAAGTACTGCACTCTAAGCTTTTTGAAACCCCGTCTTCCACCATTGAACACTCCATCACCTGTACCAAAAAAACAAACAAGCCAACAAAAGTAATGATGCAGTTTACTCAGCAGGGTGACTTCACACAAATGGACCTTAGATGTCAAAAAAGCAGAGTTCATTTGCTCATTTGCAACCTCAGTACTATCAGATGTGAACTGCAGTGTGCGCCTCCTTTTAAGCTGCAGGGGTTCCCTACATTCCTCTAACCCTTTGGTGGTGGCATCTAAAATAAATGTCCCCCCAGTTATGAAAAGTTCAAAAAATCACCAAGTGCCACAGAGAAGCGACCTACCTCTGACATCAGTAATTTGGTGGCCCAGATTTGAACATTTTTTTATGGGAGTATGCTCGTTCAGATTGCAAAACAAATGATCCTCATTTTGGCTTACTTCATCCCAGAATAAGTGAGAGAATTCTGCGGAATTAAGAGTCTGTAAGAAACAACTCCTTGACAGGCTCTTCGAGAATATAACAATACCAGAAACAAACCATTTTGTGAATGTCTGGGCAGACAGTACTCGACTCCTTGCCATTCCCATATTTCACTGCTACTAAGAACACGGAGAAACAATAGCATTACAAGTGAGAAAAAATAGTCAAAGAAAATAAAGTTCTTTGAACAAGGTGCAAAGGCAAATGACAATGCCATGATATACACTAATTCCTTTTGTCTCCCAATAGAAACCTAATTCCTTTGACGCCCAAGGTTAACTATGACAGAAAAGGTATAACACTCAAATTATCATAAGAGTTAATACAAATGGGACGAGATTCATTAAATTTGGTGACAAATTTTAAAGAAAATTTCCAGCACCCAAATATGTAGGGACTAAATAGTTATTCAAAACAAATACAAGATATAACTTTAGGAGGAAGAAAAGCGAATCAGAATAAGAACATACTAATAATAAGAATGAATCATAATCCATTTGTGAACATCCAAACTTCCCATACTTGTGAAAAGATCACTGCAAAAGATTATCCTTTTAACAGAGACAATATTAGAAGAAAGAACTCAAAGATCGTCAAAAAATAAAACAAAAAAGGAAACCCGAAACCTCAATGAAATCACCAACGCCCCAAATCAGACATCACTTCCCGACGTTCTCAGACTTGAAGTTCCATCAAACAGTATCACATACAAGTTAATAAAAAACAAAACAAAACAAAAAGGGCAGAAAACCCCACTTGTGACTCATGCCATTGCCATCATCGAAGTCGATTATTCTCCAATTCCAAGCCTTCAAAATCCAAAACCATTCGAATCCAACGCAGACCACAATCTATGCAAAGAAGGAACAAAAAATAATCATCGTACAAATTGGGCTTGAGTGGGAGTCGCGCCATGACACTGCCACTCGTCTCCCCTCGCATCTGTGTCTTTCTGCGACAGTGACTGTTATTGGACAAGAGAGTAATGTTAAAAGGGCAAAAAAGAAACACAAACCGTAAGGCTTAGAGTTAGAATAATTCGCATTTAATGCCATTTATTTCCTTGAAAAGCTTTTCCTGGAAGGCAATATCGTAAAATCAATCAAACGGTTGGGCTTGTAGTAGGTCTGAGTCCGGCACGACCCGGGATTAGCGAACCGACACTGTTGACCGCCCCACCCTCCCTTGACTCGGAGCTCCTTCGGTTAACAGGTTCTCCGATCCAATAATTTAGCAGCTGCAGTTGAGGTTGATTCCCACCTAATTTGATTGAGCCCGACACCAGTACGAAGAATAATTTGATAAATATTGAACAACAAGACAGGATAGTTGGCTTGATATATAAAAGATTTTTTTACAAAAAAACTAATTAGTGGATGAAGACTGATTTTTTTTTTTTTTTTAAGTCAAGCTAACTAGCATCTTCAAAACTACTAAATTCTTTCTTTTGATATGAGTATCAAGGTACCACCATAATGCTGATCATATATATATATATATATATATATATATATATATATATATATATATATATATATATATATATATATATATAT